TAATTCCATTCAAAAGGAAATACAAACCCAAGGTCAAAAAACTAACCCGCTTATATAAACCAACATGACTAACAGTGAGAGGAAAGAGAAGTTCAAAACAAACCAGGCAAACCATCCAAAGCTAAAAAACAAGGGACGGCCGTGGCCTGGTTAAAATATTAAACTAGTTGGGATTAATTAATGAAATAGAGGTTTCGTTTTGCCAAACAAAAGAAAACTTATAAACTGAATCGATAAGTTTACATCCCCAGTAAGAATATCAAAAAGCCAAACTGGCATCTGCAATGATTCCCAACAAAAATAACCTAAATTCCTTGCAACATAAATACACAACGGCATGTGCAGCCCCATTGCACAGCCAAAGCCACCCGTTCCCCGAGCTGCCACCATCCCAATTGAACTTCATGATTAGAAGTAGGGGTGGGCATCGGGACTGGAAAACCGGAATACCAAATCGGAGCGGAGAAAAAAAAAACCAGAAAAAAAACTGGTTGACTAAAAAAGTCAACCAACCGAACTAGAACCAGACCAAACCAGTTCCAATCAATTCTAATATCGGTTTTACACCACATCAAACCGGACCGGACCAAACCAGACTAGTTGTAGTTTTTTCTTTTATTTTATTACAAAATTTTTAAATCCAATGCTATATTTTAAATTTTGTAATTAATATTTTTCCAAGTTCAACTTCAACAAATTTCTCATTGTATGAATTGGATCATTTGTTAATTTTTAAGCCAAAAAAATAACTTATTTATTATAATTTTTATTTTAAAAAAAAAATAATTAATAATTAATAATTAATAATCCGGTTCAAAACCAGAACCGATCAAAATTGAACCAGCCAGGTTTTAAATTTTTTTTACTTAAACCGAACCGAACCGAACTTGTTAAATAATATCGGTTTCGATTCCGATTTGAGGTGAGAACCGAATTGTGCCCACCCCTAATTGGAAGTGAAGCCAGTGACTCTATCTCCCGGAATCAATTCCCATCCTAACTCATCAAACGCCCCTCTTCCCCCTTCTTGATCCTCTCCCCAAAACTAATCATTTCTGACGTAGTTTTAGAAGGAGATGTAGCCGTATTCTCCAACTCCACCAACCCGGTTTTGCCATTAACATCAGAAGAAGCTTGACTCCTTTGGCATATTTCCCTCATCTCCACCCTGACTCCCAGAATCAGAAGCAGTATGCATCAAATTTTTTACCTGTCATAGTTAAAAGATATTATTATTCATATCAACAAGGCTGTTAGAGGTTGATAGAATTCTTGTTATAATTGTTAAAGAGGGTTACAACTGTTAGTTTTAGTTAGAGAAGAAGCTTGAATTTTAACTCTGTAATTAGAACAATCAATGAAATTAAAGGATGTTCCGTTCTATATTTCTCTCTGAAATTGTTTGCATCTTAACATATTACCTTCCTCCGGGAACTCCACGAATGCCCCACGCATCAATGGCTGCGTTACATCAAATCGAATGCGGACCCTCACAAATCCACCAATGTGGTCAGACCCCTCCAACTGATCCACATCCAGAACCCGCCCTATTATGCCTTCGATCTTGCGCGCTACCACCACGGTCATATCCAGTGGTGGAATGCCATATAATTGAACCCAAAACACCGCATGTGTAATATCAAAGGTTCGAAAGTTGTCCCCTTTTTTCACATCAGCCAGGAGGACCAGAGAGTTACTAAAGTTCCACGGTTCCATATCTAAAACCCTTTTCTTATCACGAAGACTAGTAAACCGTGCTACAAACCGGCATTCACCAATCTCCTTGATTGACAACCCTTGTTCCCCACACCATAAGGATGTGAAAACCTCGATGAAAGCATCTCTGTTTACGGATTTGTTTGTGAGAACTCGAGCTACCAGTAAATACTGACAGGCCACCAAAGTGTCAGAGAGTTCTTCCTTATCAATCTTCACCACTAACCTTTCCTTCTCAGACAAACGCAATTTTCCTTAAACCTCTTGTTCATATCATCCATGGTCGTCATGATGCCCCAGGGTTCCTGCGGTTGTCTACATTGACGAGCACGCACCACCACCCTTAGGTTGCCACCGTCTAGAGTTTTACTTGCAACCCTACTTTGACTTTTCGATCCTGACTTGTCTCTTCTTTCAAGAGACGTCACCTAAAAATAATTAAAGAAATTGGTTGAATAAAAAGACAATTTACATGAATACATTTTAAAGCAAACAAAAAATGAAAATAAATGAAAATTCGTTTTTTTTCTCACACTATCAAATGATTACTGCCTACCAAATTACACCTCATATATAAACAAAAGCCTCTTGGGAAAGAAGGCCCAATGAGGTCAAAAAATAATGAAAATGAACATGACAGAGGATCGTGAAACGACACCATTTTAACTCAAATGTATTTTCAATATAAGTGAGCTCACAGGTGCTATAAACCTATATGTGAGCTCACTCGACACCACATTTTAACCCAAAGGTACCTATAGCTTGCAAATTTAACATCCTGAATTTGTTAATTGTTAATGGTAAAATCAAAAACAAAAACAAGAAGTTTTGTCACTCATTCTTCCATTTGTGGTCACCCTATTAAATATTAAAAGAAACGGCGACCCACTGCTAACATTGATATTGTCCTTAACTTAACCATTTACAAAGCCCAATAAATATGAAATTTTATCATAAAAGACCTCGGTATATTTATTACTGAAACCACTCATTATATTGTATTTATTTTTGTCAAATTTCTGATGTAGACATTCGTTCTTCAACACGTCCAACATCACAGTGTCAAGTGCAAGCTATATAGCCAAGCAGAGCTTTTCCTGATATGCTGGAGACGTTTTGCCTCAGTGCCCGACAGTGATCCCAAGAAAGATGCTTCTTTTCAAAAACTGGGTTTGATGGTATGACATTTTCCAAAGAGGGGGAACAGGCGGGCATAGTAATCAATTGCCCAAACAAAACTAGTGGGCATAGTAATGCTCTCTATAATTTCTACACGGACAATGTCACATTTTTCAGACTTTTTTTCAATTCTTTCCAAATGAAATGACATTATTGGATTCCTTAGTTTGTAAATGGTGTGCACATCAAGTATTGCTACACATATTAAGTCAAAATTAAACTATTAAGCATGTTCTTCTACAATGTCCAAGGGGGGCTCAAAATTTGTGTACATATAATTGTTTACTAGTGATTTTTTTAGAGTCCAATAACACAAGGGCCCAAATAAAAATCACTTCAAGTTCTACAACAATTATAATTGAATGTTAAAAACTTATTAATTTGCTTTTAAAACAACAAACGTCCAATTAATCTAACATTTCCTTCAAGAAAACTAGCTATTCCATTCCATTCCGATCTTCTTCTTTTTTCTTTTTTTTTTTGGGTTGCCGATGATTTTATGGTTTTTTAAATTTGGCTTTTAAAAATATTTTATGATTCATGTAGTTTTGTTATTTTAGTTTAATAGAACTACTACTTAAGCCAGAAATAAAATACATGTGAAGAATAATTTTATTTTTCTTAATTCTTGAACTATGATTGTATACAAAGGGAAAGGGACTCATTCTAATTTCTGGCCCCAGACCACTCAAAAAATAAGGTTATCTTTAATAACGATGCTTCCTTGAACACCCAATTTTTTTTTTTTTTTTAGAAACACATGCATGCTCAAGATTTATAAGTGTAGGGATGCCGCCAACTAAAATGTTATGACCATATGTACCAAAAAGAGGGGAGTGATTTCTAAGTGCTTTTATGAGATAATCGTAAAATTACATCAACACTGAACATATTTCTAGGGAAGTTACCTTAGCACACTTACAACATTTAGGTATATTTTGAAATACTTCATATGTTTAGCATCTTCGTCTCGAAATACTTCATATTTAAGTGTGCTTGAAATACTTTATATTTAAGGATGTCATAAAAAAAAAGGTGAGGTTCTATCCCAAAATCAATTAGCAATGGGGGTTGTAACACAACTTCTTATAAGCCCTTTTAAAATTTGTTACTTTTCCAATGTGACACAATTTCACTTTCACATTCTCACCGACCAACCAACTCCGGTAACACAAAATAATTGCAGTGGCATGTGGCAAGTAAAGGATGGTATGCAACATAATTTCTATGATAAGGGTAAAATGGAGTTTTTGCCATTTCAAAAATTCAACAAGCGAACTTGTTACCCGAAACTAATTAAATATAAAATCTCATTGACCAAACTTGAAAATAAAAATATACATTAATTATACTCTCTAGTATTAAAGAAATATTATTGACCAAACACCAATTAATCTAATTCATAAACACAGTCAATTTCACTATATAATATTGGGCAAATAATAAAATAATATATCCTGATAATTCACCTTGGTTTCCGAACCCATTTCCTTGGTTCAAGAACATGTTTCTTCCTTGTATAAAATTTCGAATTTAGCATTGGAAGTGCAAAACGACAAGCGTGCCAATTAATCATCCTGCTAGCTAAACATTGTTCAATTTAAATACAGACATACATGCACGCACGCACTAAACCCACCACAGAAACATACAAACAAACATATCAGAAAAAGATCCGTCTCTTTCTCTGATATCAAATCATCCCCAACCGAACACCAAAAACACAGCTCAGACCAGACACAAAATTCGCTTAACCACCACCTTTTTCTAATGCATATCATGTGAGTGATATAAAATTCGAAGTATATATATCAACTGTATTTCAAGAGAAAGAAGATGTAAAATCACATGGTCGTACATCTTAAAAGTTGTAAATTACATAAAAGTCACTATGCTAGCGTTCACTTTTGTTGCAACTTGCAATTCAATCGCCTAAATCTATATATCTCTCACCGACAATCTTTTTTTTTTTTTTTCTTTTTCTTTTTGATGTTTATATTCTAAGCAAGAAAATACTGAGTTCAGGACCTCCATTGCCTTCTGGGTTCAACATGTAAAAGGCCTCCGAGTCACGGCTTCCCACAACTCTTTCAAACCTAGCCCTCATGTAAAGCAACTCGCCTTCTGAAGCGCTACCCTCTTTCCCGTCATCCACCACTGGAATCACGCCTGCTCCGACTGACACGCTCCGAACAGTAGTGAGCACGTGCCAGTCGGACTCCCCGCACGTACGAGACGCTGTGTAGCCGCACTTCCTCCCGTTGCAATACATGGTCCAGGAAGGCTCCTGAAACAGTTTCCGGCCGTGGATACCCGTACGGCTGGAACCATGATGCCTTTCGGACTCCAGCGCAATACGGACGAGTCCGGAAGACATCTCCTTGACGAGTGAAGATGTTGACATGGCAAGCTCGAGAAGCAAAACGGGCTCCGAACTGGGATCCAGCTGGACGGCGAAGCTGACATGGCCACGGCGGTTCCCGAAGAGCGGCCCGGTGACTTTTCTGCCCAGGGAGGGAGTGATGGAGAGGCCGGAGGGGATGGCAAGCCACTTGCAAGTTGGGATAATGGTGGGGAAGGAGAGGAAGCTGAGAAAAGAGCGGAGGAGTGAGGTGAGCTTGGTTTGGGTTTTGGAGAGTTGGTGCATGGAGACTGGGGAGTGCTGCTTCGGAATCAAGAAGTTGTTGGAGACGTCTTCGTTTTGATGATGATGATGATGATGATGATGATCAAGTGGGAGAGTGGACGATGAGGATCTGAAGTGGTTTGATGGGATGATCTTTCCTGATGAGCTTCTTGCGATGGAAGTAGTGCTGTTGCTTCTGTGGAGGTTGAGGTCTTGGTGTTTCATGGTGAAACGAAAACTAAACGAAAATGATACGATCAAAGAAAATGTTGGGTTGGTTTGTATTTATTTATTTATTTATTTGCTAATTTTGAAGTATGAACACAAAGAAAATGTACAAGTATTTTTTGTGGCTGATGAATCTGAATTTGCAGAAAGAGGAGAGGGCGTGGGTTTCTCTGTTGATAGAAGAAATGGAATTAAAGAGGCCGACAAGTGATGATAGTGTTGGGAGGTGGCCAATATAAAGGGGGACTATGGAGGCTTGTGGTGATGATGATTTCATCCAAGAACTTTTATATTGTGTGCTTAAGAACTCATATGGTCCTACAAACCACCACATTATATGTGCCACGCCACTTTTCATCTACCTGCTTTTTTTATATTGAAAATTACTTTTAATTTCCTAATTTTCTTATTAGTATATAATACTTTTTTTTATATAAGCGCTAATGCAGAATTAGAGATTCGAACACATAACTTCGGGTACATAGAATTTCAGAGCTATCTATATTTGTTGCAACCCAAATAGAAAAAATTAGGTCAATAAGCTCATGGATGAATTTGAGTCGTCTCATGATCTTTCTTGATCAGATTCCAACTCTTGTTGGTCACATAACGTTTTACGATTTCATGATCATGCACGTTGACCGTTGGATTAAAATCATGAATAATAAGTGGTTGAGATATGAATTTATTAAAAATAAAAACAAAAAGTGGTTGAGATATGAGACATTGTTTAGACTTAAACCGCAGACTCGTCGATTCCATTTCATTTTTGAATGAAGTGGTAGTGGTCCAAGTTCATGGGACGGTTGCCCTAAACCACAAAATGGAGGCCTTGTATTAATACGGGAGATTTTCTATATCCTGTCATCGTTCTAGGGAGAGTTTTCGGTGAAAAAGCAACTTCTATTATTTGCAATGCATCTTAAATTATATATGTAATCTTTCTCAGTTCTGGTGCTACTTTTATATGTTTACTAATCTAGACTGATATCCTATGTAGCACTGATAATACTCTGCCGGGGTATGCGACTATTGATACGGCTTGGATATGATATGCATCCGATACGTATTTGATACTTCAATTTATGTAACATGGACTTTCTAAAATGTTGACGGTCTGATATGTTGTCAATACACGAAGGATACAGTCTTGATATAATCAAGATACGGGGATGGGTTATTTTGAAAATTATGCCTCGATTTATAAAGACCTAGCCAAGTGGTTTCCGCGACAACGATATGTAAAGAAGAGGAGTAAAGATGAACTGTCAATTTGCCATTTAAATTATTTTTTGAATATATACTAATTTAATCGCTGTATTTGTATTCTAGTTTTTGAAAATTTGTCATATCGTATCGACATATACGTACCCTTAACTGTGCAATATAGTTGATAACTCGATGATCAATAGTGAAGAAATTTCAAATGTTAGATCGAAGTTAAAATTTAAAGAATTTTCACTAATAAGGGTCTAATGACGCAAAACAAAAAATGACATATAGTAAATGTGGGTTATGTCAGTTGGTCAAGGCAGTGTACCAATCCTTTACATATCAAAGGCATAAATGGCAAGCAATGAGCTGACCTAACAGCCAGGCAACAGGACTGCTTGCGGGGACACCCAAATTCGATTACCCTCCCTGCACATTAGATTAATTTAGAATATCGATTTGTAGAAAAAAAAAAATTAAATTAATAAGGCATATTGAATATTTAACGCGTTATTTTAGTTGGATGTAACTTTAGTTTTATACAATTTATTTTTGGGCCATAAAATCACCAATCATTAAAAGCTCTAGTTTTATGTATACCTTTACCATGAGGTTCCGCACTCTTCTTTGATCTGTTTTAGGGCCGGGGCCCGGGTCGAATTGCCTCAACCTGAGGGAAAGATGCGGTGAGAAGAGAAGAAAGAGGTATGGAGTTCGAAAATCATCTCTAGTTGTGAATAGGAAATATTAAAAATATATTCTACATTATCTCTCCTTATTGCTTAACATCTCTCGTCTCTCTCTCTCTCTCTCTCTCAAAAAACACCAGAACCAATAGAACTTACAGAAGTATTGGTTTTATGAACAAATTCGGAAAGAAAAAAAAACACTTATCTTGTATTTGTCTAATGAATACATGCGATAAGCATTGGGGAGTTGACCCAACACAAGGGCGTGATGAGAGACTGGGAAGTTTTTTACTGGTTGAAAGTGACACGAGGGTGACGAGCATGATAGGGAAAGTCGATCCAAATTATGTCGTATGAGAAAGGCCAACTTGTCCCCATCAATTTGGAAGCCACACAAATAATGCCTTTTTTTTAAATATATAAATTACTTTTTGCTCAATACATGCTTTTCTATAATTAATCATCATTACCATAATTAAATATATTAAGCAGTTAAAAAAATTGTATTGAACATTTTGGACGGTTCCAAACAGAATGGGTTGCCCCATGACCAATAGATTGGTGGCCTAAACATTGTGTTTTTTTAGAGTTCTTAGTGTCACCAAGAGTTCAATGTGGACAAAATCAGCCTTATAACATTATTCATCTCACACATCAGCACGAAAATAATTGTGTATGTTTGAAAATTTAGAATACTTTTATAATTAAACATCTCAAATCTCATTAAGTCGGTTTTTTATGAAAAGAAAAATATACTATTATATAGGACCCAGAGTTGGCCAACCTTCGTGTGGGACCATTTTTTAGGTTTATTGACGCCTATGTGGTGTGTTGTAAAGTAAAATTTGGCATTGTGATGACGTCATACGTGAAACCAATTCCACATTAGTAACTATTTATAAATAAATAAAAATATTTAATTAGGGTTTGTTTGATTTGGGTTCAATTCGGGGTTTTGTTTGGTTTTAGTTAGTTGGGTATGAGGTTTTATACAAAAGGTCAATGCTATTAGTAGTGCAACCTTTCATTATATATTGCATTTTATTTGACAAATTTTCAATGTGGGACTCTATATTGTTCAGCATGCCCTCTCATGTAGGATCACCACATAATAGACTTTGTAGGTGATATAAGTTGGGGAAAATATCGATGTTAATAGTGGGGCACATCCTTATGAAATCTTAACATGGTATCAAAGTGGATTTGCCCATGTGTGAAACCCAATGGCCACATGTGCTTCATGTTATCCAATATGTATTGTTCACGTGTTAGGCTTAAAATGTTGCCACACATATGGGGGCGTGTGAGAATGTGAAGCTCAAAATGTCCCACGTTAGAAAGTTAAGAAACCTAGTAACGTACGGCTTATAGTTGAGCTACTCCCCTTATTACCAATTGTTGAGGCCCAAAAATCCAGAGTTGGGCTCAAATAAATTCTTGGCCCAGTGGGACACCTTATTAAGAAAAGACCCGATTCGAAGCACTCGAAATTTGTCATGCACGCTTTCACGAGCCACAACCACGTGCCATGCCAAATAAATATGCAATTTATCACGCTGAGAATTAAAATGAGCCTATAAAAGGCATTGGCTCTTCAAGCCCATGCTAATTATTCCGTCAAGCACTATGTCTCTCTTTAAAGCGACAAAATTCAAGCACCCCAAGCGACATGTAATGCCAAGCGAAAAATCATTATTATTACACCTAGCCAAGCTACAAGCTTAAATGGGCCCAAGCCACGCAAATGTCTGGGGCTTGCTTGAGTGAGTTGTGGTATGGATGGTAACGAGTTTTCATGAGGCCCATTGATGAGCAGAGGAATGGAAGTTTTGGGCTGCTTGGAAGCCCCAAAACTCAAGCCTATTTTTTGAGCCCAAATATGTGGGTAAGTATAAAAGAGAGGAAAAAGCTCAAATACCCTAGAAAATTAGCCCATCATTTAAGGAAATTAGCCCATGTTCTTAATGGACTCATCACTTTAGCAAGGCCCAAATAGCTTAGAAAATATCCAAAAATCTCCAACACATGGTTTGAAATGAAACCACGATAGAAAATCATGAGATGTTTTTACGCTCAGGCTACTGGAAGACTCCAGCACAAGGCCAAAGACAAACCCAATGCAAGCCATTAGAAAAACCAAAGGATATTGGCGCGCGCAGGAGAAAAGGTAGCCTTCAGACCAGCCAAAGTTACCCATCTCCTTCCTTTACTAGATCTTGCCATGAAATAGTGGAGGAAATGAGGAGAGATTATAGCCAAAAATAAGAAATCACCACTGGAATGGTTGCGAGAAGACTACTGAATTCCCAAAAATATGGTCTCTATGTATGGGGCAGAGGATAATTTCACAAAATGGGATGGATCGAAGGGAGAGAAGAGAAATGAAATGGGAGACTTGGCAAAATTAGAGAGAACCAATTAGGTTTCTTAGGAAGGATGAGCTTTCAACTGTTATAAAAGGAGGTACCTCCTACCTATTAAACTTAACCAGAGCAAACGAGCAAGCTTATTCTCTAACTACTAACATCAAGCCCAAGTGCCTCACCTTCTATCTCCTTCTTCTTTATCCTAATCAAGACACATTCAGAGAGCAAGCTACATCTCTCCTCCCTGAAACCTCTGCAATTTCGAGCCCTATTCCTCCATCTCATCCCCTTTTCTCTTCTGTTAAAACACTCTAGAGCTTGACAAATTTTTCGTCAAGTTGCCGGAAACTACTCAACACACCTATTATACCCTCATCTCTCTCCCTCTTCAACAAACCCTCTTAGAATCCATTCCCCCTTTCCTTAGAACCCTTGTCTTTCATAAGACCTCACAGCTCTCTCTTTGTTTATGCCAAACTCATGATGGTTTTGCTCCCATGCCACAAACTTCTCATACCAAGCTAAGAATCTACTTGTAAGTTGTTGTTATTTTTGTTGGTGAAGGTAACCAAGGTGTTTCCTAAGGTTTCGCTACCCTTTCGAAGTATTCTTGAGGTCTGATCTTTGAACTCAGACTTAAGGGGCAGCTTCACATGTTTCTCTTTTCGGCAGCCCAAGTCCATTCGTCAGGCTACTGGAACAAAAAGACCCCTACATCAATTGGTTTTGGGATTGAACCTCAAACTTTCTTCAAGTTGGACCTCAGTTTAGGCCAAAAGGAAAAAAAAAATTACTTGTAAAAGGGATAACACTGTTTTGCTATCCCCACCAATAACACCATGACATGTAAAAAAGTAGTATATTTGAGGGGAGAGATCCTATGTGTGAGATATTTTGATTCTAGCTTACACACTATTTCACAAAAATAT